AAGGTGGGAGGGGGCAAGGGAAAGAGGTGGGGGGGAGGCAGAGACAAATGTATTTTAAAAGTAAATAAATTAAAAAAAAAACAAAAAAAACAAAAAAAAATAAAAATTTCATATATCTCTATAAATCTAGAAATCCTTGTTTCCTTTAATTACAGAAATTTTAAGTTAGGAATTATTTTTAAAGCACCAGAAAATGAGGTTGAAAAAATTAACATTTTTTTCTCTGTGCTTCAGATATACTTTTAAATAAATAATATTTAGGTATATTTGAATCTCACTTCACTTTCATCCTATACACTTCCCTAGTTCTTAGAGTTAATCACTCTTCTGAAATTAATACTACATATTACATCCGTATATTTAAAAATTTTAAATTTACATATGTATGTGTCTGCACAATATGGAATTGTTTTATGTTTTACATTACATAAATAATAATGACTTTTGTTCTCTTCTTAAGTTTCTGAAATTTATCAGTGTTTGTACATGTGGACCCTATTTCACTCATTTGAACTGTTTGTTGTATCAGTCTATATAAATACGTTACACTTTATTTTTCTTATTTATTTGTAGGTATTTATATTTTTTCTAATACTCAATATAACAAGTCGCCCTATATTAAACACATTTTATATATTCTTTCTACATATCATATGATATTCTTTAGGGTAAATGTCTAGATGTGAAGTTGCTGGCTGACTAGGTTTCAATATCATAATGATGTTAGATATTGCCTATTGTCCTCCTTAGGTTTTAGTACTAATTCATGCTAATAACAACAGTGGTAGACATTTCTATTTTCCTAGATTTCCAGCAGCACTTGGTATTATAAGCTTTTACCCTATGTGAAATTTTATCTTTGATAATCTTTTAAAAATTTATCTCCATTTAAAAATATTTATTACTAGGTATCATATAGTGTTTTGCTATTCTAAATATTTTTATTACATTTTCTAGTCGGTTATCACTGATTCATAGAAATGCTATTGTTTTTCATAGATTGATTCCCATATTCTGCAATCCACTAGCACTCTCTTCTGGATTCAATATTTTTCTTTGTGAAGTATATACATCACTAAGCATTTTTTTCCAATGAAGTTAGACTGTGAATGGTAAACATTAACAATAATCTGATATTTGTCTGTAGTTTTGAAACTTTTTTTCTTCCTTGACTGGTGGCCAGGTTTTCTACTATGAGCCCCTGTGGTGGATTTCTTTTTTTTTTCTTTTCTTCAAACTGAGAATGTATCATTTTCATTAATTTTTTTAACCCTCACCTGAGGATATGTTTATTGATTTTAGAGGGAAAGGGAGAGAGAGGGGGAGAGAAGGAAACATCAGTCAGTTGCCTTCCCTACACACCTGTGCCTCCACCAGGGATCAAACCTGTGACCTATGAATGAGCCCAGACCAGGATGGAACCTGCAGACCCTTGGTGCATGGGATGATGCTTCAACTAACTGGGCCACCTGTCCAGGGACTCTTTAATTCTTGATAGTTTTTTTCTTCTTCATTATTCCTTGAATATCGTTTCCACTCAATTTTATCTAATCTCTCCTGTAGCAACTCCTGATGAACTTTTGTTGAATTTTAGCATTCCCTCAACCATGCCACTTAGCATCTCATAGTTTTATTTCTTTATCTCCCTACATCAGTTCATAGTTAATTTCCTCATAGTCTGTATTTCTGATTTCCTATTCAGCAGTTTCTAATCTCTTGTTCAATCATTCACTGAATTTTAAATTTCAATGACTACGTATTTTTTTATTTCTAGAAGTAAATTTTAATGACTTCTTTTCCAAGCCTGGAAATTGCTATTTTATTTTAATATAGTGTTTTATGTTGTGTTGTTTTTTCCTATTATTTCTTTTTTGTTATTTTATTTTCTAATCATATTTTTATGATTATACATTTTTGCATATTTTTATTTCCAGGATTTCTATGATTACACATTTTTTGTGGCTACACAATTTGTCAGTTGAGGCTATACTTCCTTTCCTGTGGGAATACCATCTACCTGGCTTGTTAAAGAATTCTAGCACATAAAGAGAGAATAAAACTGACCCCATTCCCATGTGGCATACAGGTTGGGACTACCTGTGCTGCTAATTTTTCCCCACCTAGAGAGCCAAAGGAAAGAGAAAATTTTCTAGCCCCAACTCCTGGCTTGCAGGTGAATCTTCTAATGCTTGTTCTGCTATATCACTGTCAAGGGGCACTTTGATAGTCCAAGCTTAAGTGAATTCCATTCCAATTACCTTTTGTGAATCTAAATCCTAGTTTCAAGTCCTAGAGAAGCCACTAATACTCCACACTTTAACTCCCCTGTTAGTACAAAAGACCCACCAACCCTATGACCTTAGTTGCTCAGTTTTATTGAGCTTATACTTAACTTAGTTTTTCATTTTTGGTCTGACATCTAAGAAATTTCCTTTGTTTCCTGAATCTACATGATTACAAATTTATTTGCTCTCTTTTACCCAGAATACTGTATTTGGGATGACATATATGAAAAAAAGTGGTACCCACTTTTTTAAGTATGGAATTTTACCAGAACTTTAGCCATTTAAAACTTATAATAAAAATTCTTTAGGTCTGAATTTTTAAAAATGTCTACATGCTCAAAAGATATTTCTTTCTAATGAAAATTATGAAAAACTACTATATATTATAGTGTGAGGGAATAAATGTGCAAGATGGACACATGGATATCATTTTATTTGAATTTAAGTTTTAAGCATCTTAGCTTCTCTTTGAAGTTTTATTTATTAAATAGCATTTTGACCTATGTGTTTTTTTATAATCATTTGATACCTATGTCTAATCATGCTTTTGTGAAATAGAATGAGCTATCAATCACATTAGCTCTACATTAATAAATGTTTCATCATTTCAATTGTGCACATATCTTGTTGAAACATTAGGTATTTATTTTTCTTGTAAACAAGAGGCTACAGGCACTTAATTATAGAATATTAGATACACAAACATTGTGATATAATTCTTTTTGCTGTATGCATGTAATTTGTGGTTTTTAAGACTATGAAGGTATTTAATGACTCTGTTGTTTTTTCCCTGCAAATTTTTATCCTAAAAAATTAGTTAAGAGCTTATAGTCATCTATTTACAATATCATACAGATGAAAGACAACTATTTAATGATGTTAGTTACTTCATTTTCCTTCTCTGTTATGATTTGTTAATTGCTGTTTATTATTGTGTTTTAATTAACTGTGTAGAGCTTCAAGTGTCTTAGTAGGAAGCATTTTTCCTATTAGGATTGTAATCACTCTCCATACAATAATAAGGCAGGCAGAGAGCAGGCAGTGTTTTCCTTCAAACTCTGCTAATGGCTAAATTCTCTTGCTCCAAACTTTCTCGCTCTAGTTATCAAAGAGAATGAACAAAATGAGACCTCCATCCCCCTCACTCATGTTACTCTTTCCTTGCCAATACCAGGCATTTCCACTGAATAAATGGAGTGGGTATAAAAGAACCTTCCCTTTCTTTTTTTTTCCAGTTTCCTTTCCTATATTCTAGAAATTGGGGCAGTTTCTATTCCATTTTAAGCGCACCTTGGCCTGTCCTTTATTTGAGCAAATGATAAAGAATCAAAATTTCTGTGGAGTTTAGAAAAGGAATAAAGGGCACACAGGACATGTTTGGATAAATATAAGGGAAGATTTAAGAGCCTACAGGATTATCCCAAAAGACATAAAGGATAAAGACGGAAAGTGTTGTTAATAAGCCATCACCAACAGACTGCTACACAATCTGGATCTACTAGACCAATTTTTTCATTTCAGATAATATTTGATTAAAATGTATTGGCTCTAAAAAATTTACTGTGCTGCAACACATGACAATTCCTTCACTTGAATTGTGGCCTGCCTGTTTGTTTACTATCCAAAATAAGTATTTAAATCACCCCTGATGTATAACATATATTTACTATGTAATTATTAGAATATTTAGTTTGATATTTTATACATTCTTGCCCCCAAAATATACACTTAACATTAATACTAATATTTACTTCTTGTGTTATGGTTAGTGCTTATATACCTATATATTCCCATATAACTGTAAACATATCATTTTCTCTGCTTGGATAAGACTAATGAATTACTAAAAGAAAGATATTAATAGAGTTCTATCTATGATTGAGAGCAAAGAAAAAAGTAGAACAAAGAAAAAAGTAACATTTATTTTTACATCAGTATGGCATGCTACGTTTTCAAAGGATTTTTCATTCTCTCAGCTAATTAAGCTAACACTGTCTGATCCAAACATTTTGTTACCGATTTTTATAGCTATAGGAAATCAGTTTGATCATTTAAGACTTGTGCATGCCTCTGTGTTTCCTCTACATGTATAATCCGCAGGTGTAATTCATCCTTTGATGTTAACATGATGAGCTACTAGCTGAGCATGTACAACAAATAAAGTTTCATTTCTGAAAATACTCTTGGGAGGAAATATTGAGTCTTTAATCAATTCCACTAGGGCTTCTAACATTTTTTGGTAATTAAATGAAAGAGTTTGAATATGATATTTTCAGACCTATGTGGGATCAAACTGCAGAATATTAAAAATCCAGAATGAAACCCTTGAAGGAATCATTTTCAGAATTAGATACAAAGCTAGAATAGGTTTGAGTGTACTATAGTTTTAAAGGGCTGCTATTTTTAGAGCTATACAGTTCTAAATTATACTAGATTGTTAATGGGGAAAAAGTGTTTTTGCTATAACATGACACAATTCTTAAGGTAATTTGCCCTCTGCGTATCTGCTGGTTTTTAGACAAATGGCCAGTATTTTGTTGCAGTGAAACTGGTAGTCTTCTAAAGACACTTACAATAGTGTCAGGTACAGAATAGGTAGCGGATATAAACTGGAGAAGTTGTAACAAGTGCTTAATGCCAGCCGACATATCAGAGAAGCCAAGGAAAATGACCTTCTGTTTTGACAGTGGGACATTACCGGAATAAACAACGTACCTTGCAGTTACAAGGTCCAAAACAGGGGTCTTCATTTGTGCTTCCTTCGCCACTGCAGTTACAGGGTTTGCAGTCTGGGTAGCCAGTGTAGCCCCGGGCACACCGATCACAGTTTATCCCCCTAAAGCCAGGTTTGCAATGACAGGACCCAGGAGGCAGGCCTAAGAGAAGATGAGATACATATCAACATTTTTAAGGTAAATATATAATTTAGCCCCTAAGTTTTAATTATAAACCTTTAAAACCCATTTTCACACAAAAATCAGATTCGTGGTATACATCAAAAAAGAACAGTTAAAACCAAAGAATAGAAGGTTTAATTGGAAGTTGCCTATGATTTGCATACATAGCATTTTCTACGTATTTTTTAACGTACCAAGAATTATTATTATTTTTTTTAGAGAGAGAGGAATAAAGGGAGAGAGGGAGAGAAACACTATGAGAGAGAAACTTGGACTAGTTGCCTCCCATACACACACCGATGTGGAACCAAATCTGCAACCCAGGGAACTGAACTAGAGACCCCTCACTTTGCAGGACAAGGTCCAACCAACTCAGCCACACTGGCCAGGGCCTAAGAATCTTTTTAAAAGATAAAATCTCATAGAATTGACCAAAATTAAGGCTAGAGAAAAATCACTGCAATGGTCAAGGAGGAATTCTTATAACTCTGACAGATGACACTAGATGAAGACTATGCAACTTGTGTATGTACCTGTTGGCTCATAAGCCCCCTCAGACAAATATAAAATGGAGAAGTGCTTTGGTGTAAAATTATACTACTTAAAAAAATTAACAACTACAATATAAGTACACCATCACTTAGCACCACTAACAAAAGGCTAAATGTGTTCATGGGAATAAATATAATGGGGATGAAAAAATAAGAGAGAAATGTGAGCAGTTTAAATTTACTTTTCAAAAAAAAAATTGGAGAAATGCAAGACAGGTTTTTTCTTGTCTTTGATTGAAAAAATAAAAAATGCATGCATGAATTAATAGACATAAGTTATTAATCTTCAAAATATAGAAGAATAAAAAAGAAAATCAGTAAAATATACTTCACTCAAAAAATAAAGGGAAGGATGAGGAAAGGAAACATTATGGTGAGAAAAATAAACAAAGAATGAGTGTCATATTTCACAGAAATAGAACAAACATTTCAAAAATTCATATGGAACCATAAATGACCCCAAATAGCCGCAGCAATTTTGAGAAAGAAACACAAAGTAGGAGGGATCACAATACCGGACATCAAACTACACTACAAAGCCACTATACTCAAAACGGTCTGGTACTGGCACAAGAACAGACCCATACACCAGTGGAACAGAATAGAAAGCTCAGAAATAAGCCCAGATCTATATGGGCATCTAATATTTGACGAAGGGGGCAGAAGCATAAAATAGAGCAATAATAGCCTCTTCAACAAATGGTGTTGGGAGAGCTGGACGGCTACATGCAAAAAATTGAAATTGGATCATCAGCTGACACCATTTACAAAAATAAACTCAAGATGGATAAAAGACTGAAATATAAGTCGCAACACCATAAAAGTCCTAGAGGAGAATATTGGCAGGAAACTCTCAGATATCCCACGCAGCAATTTTTTCACTGATGTGTCTCCTAAAGCAAGGGACATAAAGGAAAGAATAAACAAGTGGGACCTCATCAAAATAAGAAGCTTCTGCATGGCTAAAGAAAACATCAGCAAAATGAAAAGGGAGCCAACTCTATGGGAAAATATATTTGCTAATGATACATCACATAGAGGTTTGATCTCCAAGATATATAAAGGACTCCTTGACTCCACTCCAAGAAGACAAACGATCCAATCAAAAAATGGGCAAAGGACGTGGGCAGACGCTTTTCCAAAGAAGAGATACAGAGGCCCAGAGACATTTGAAAGGATGTTCAGCATCGCTAGCCATAAGAGAAATGCAGATCAAAACCACCATGAGGTACCACCTCACACCAGTCAGAATGGCCATCATAAACAGATCAACAAACAACAGGTGCTGGCGAGGCCATGGAGAAAAGGGAACCCTAGTACACTGTTGGTGGGTATGCAGACTGGTGCAGCCATTGTGCAAAGCAGTGTGGAATTTCCTCAAAAAGCTGAAAATGGAACTGCCTTTTGATCCAGGGATTCCCCTGCTGGGACTATACCCTCAGAATCCCAAAACGCCAATTCAAAAGAACCTATGCACCCCAATGTTCATAGCAGCACAATTTACAATAGCCAAGTGTTGGAAGCAACCTAAGTTCCCATCAGAGGATGATTTGATCAAAAAACTATGGTACATTTACACAATGGAATATTACACAGCAGAAAGAAAAAAAGAACTACTACACTTCATGACAGCATGGATGGAACTAGAGAGCAGTATGCCAGGGGGCGAAAGACTAATACCATATGATCTCACCTATAAGCGGAACCTAACCAACAATACAAAGATGCAAGGAAAATAAGACCAGCAACACTGAAAGGAGAAGAAACCAACAGAGACAAGAGGGAAGGAGTGAGGGGGGAGCGGGGGAGAAGGAAGGGAAGGGTGAAAGTCAAGGAACATATAGAAAGGACTCATGGACAAAACCAAAGGGGTAGAGTTGAGGGAGGGTGGGAAGGAGGGAGGGGGCAAGGGAAAGTGGTGGGAGGAAGGCAGAGACAAATGTAGTTGAAAAAATAAATTAATTAATTTAAAAAAAGAAAAGAATGAGTGTCAAACATACATACTAGCTATATAGAAATAAGATAAACAGTCTCGCTGTTTCTATTAAAAACATGTGCATGTAATGTTCATAAGGGATTCACAAAATAGTGAGAAATGTAAAAAATAAAAGAGTAAATATATCTTAGGAAAGCGTGTAGAAAAGCAAAAACTGTTGTAATAGTATTAATAAGGTCCAAAGTAAAATTCAATTAAAAATAGACTGACAGGACAAATTCCCATTTTTACATTGATAAAACTCCGATAAAAAAATTATGATTTAAGTTTTTATACTTATGTTCCAAAGAAGCACTAATTACAAGTACAAAAAATATAAATTACAAAAGATATGAAATTAAAAAAATTGTTCAAATTCAATGTCTGAGATGACAATTTTACCACTTTAAATATTTATAAATAAATAAATTAGAATAAAGATATAAAAATTTGAATTATATAATAATATTTAATTAAATGGTATATGGTATACAATATAAATATTTATTTCAGTTTATCTATGAGTATTTCACAAAAATGTTCACTTTCTCAAAGCAGAAATTATTTAAGGTTTGCTTCCTTCACATAAACTACTTCTAGATTTGTACCAAATTCTGTAAAAAATTAGGGTTAAATTAATTATGAATAGCAAAGATAAGGATACAATTTTATACAAAATTAAACTTGTCTTAAAATTAGTAAATAAGTATATCTCCTTAGTAAATTTTAGTTAAAGGGAAAAATCAAGACTTCAATTCCAGATTAAATAGTTTTCTAAATAGAAAATAACAGCAATGAAAAATAATGTCAGTGGAGAGTGTATGATGGGCCTTTTTCTTAGATTAAATAGTATAACCTCAAGAGATGGTGTCTATGGAATTCTATTCACCCATAAAAGAGAAGAAAGTTTTACCCTTTGCAACAGTATGGATGGATCTGGAGAACATTATGCTAAGTGAAATAAGCCAGTCAGAGAAAGACAAATACCATATGATTTCACTCATATTTGGAATCTAATGGACAAACTGAACTAACAAGCAAAATAAAGACTCATAGATGGAGAAGAGATAACAGCTAGTGAGAGAGGTGTGGTTAGAGGGTAGAGGGACTGAGCAAAAAGGAAAAAGGATTCATGGACTTGGACATGGACAACAGTGTGGTGATTGCTGGGGGTAGGGGGGATCTAAGGAGACTAAATGGTAACAAAAAATATAATAAAATAATTTGTTACTAATAAAAAAAGATGGTGTCTAAATATAATAAATCACAAAAAAGAGATTTAAGCCTTTTATTTAACATAATAAAGATACCATAGAAGAGATACAGAATAAAAATGTATGAAGGGTGGAGTTAATGAAAGCTGTGGTGTGAATGACACATTTGTTTGTCTTTGAAGATGAAGATTCAACAGGCAATATTCAACAGTGAGTAAAAGTACTGTTAAGAATATTTATTCAGATATTGTTTGGAAGATAAGTTCTCCCAAAAGAACTTAATAGGAGACGAAGCCCAATGTGATCATATTTGGAAATAAGACTGGGAATGAATAGGTTGATGAGGGCATGACTGCAATTTATTTTATTCCTTTCCTACTGTTAAAATTTTACTTTAATTGTTTTTATAGTAATCGAAAATATGTTTATGCAAAAAAACTTTATTAAAGCATTGGCTATAATAAACAGAGATTGGAAATAATTAATATCTATATAAAACTGAGTGGGTAAATAATTTATGCTACACTCATATAATTGTGTATTATTCAGGGGCTAAAACTAGATTTCAAAGATGATTTTAATACATACCAGGAAAAACTCATTACATAAAGTTAACACAAAAAATGTTAATCTCAGGATCTGTGCTGATTTACCACTGCGTTACATACTTACTTTTCTATTTTTTATTTTTTATAACATTTTAAACAATAATACACATTTAAAAAATCAGGGTAGAAAGTTAAGTAGTATTACTGAAAATAATGTAGTTTCGTTGTAACTATAAAATGATAAGGGACCATAAAATGAAAAATGACCTTAATAATTCACCATTTGAATATTAAAATAATTGTATTTTTAATCTTTTAGGACTTAAAACTATATGGCTTAAATTGATAATGCTACCATTTTATGAAGAAAGCGGGGAAGCTGAACCGTACCAAAGAAACATTGACAGACTTTTAACTTGAAAGTCTTTGTGGGGGGAAATCTAGATTATAGCTATGATCTATTTTAGTGCTCCCAAAGAGTAGAATCCACTCTTAGAAATAAAAGGAAACTGTTCCAGACATGAATTTTCCACTTAACCTTGGTCAGCAACTCTTCTGTAGCTCCTAAACATTTTACACCAAGGAGTTTTTACAGCATTTGATTCGTAAATGTTTTGAGTTCATCATGAATTTCAATCCTCAGAGAAAGTATTTGGCATATTTTAATTCAGCCTCTTTCCCTTCATAAAATCATGACTAATACTTTTAAGTACATTTCTTTATGAGCACTTCTTGTTTTCCATATTATCTCCTCTAATCTCTCTTCGCATTACAGCACACACCCCCTCAATGAATCCTGCTCTTTGGTGATAGAAATGATTGAAGGTACAAACTATCTAATAAACAACAAGACAAACAAAAAAAGATATACAGTGCTGATTTTTGATTAACAGAAGGTGCATGTGCATAGATATGTACAAATATGTATATACGTATATAATGTAGGACAAATTATTTAACTCTTGCTTTTAAAGCATTAAAATTACACATAAAATTAATCATTGAGATGAATAAAAATTGTTTCTTTGAAGGAAATTTGAGAGATACAAGAATAACTTTATTACATGAATAAAATTTACTGTAAAATATTCTTCCAAAAAATCATATTTGGCTTTTAGTTGTCCTGTCATCAGAACAATGGCTCGATACTATGCTATGGCTCTCACCTCGTTGAGCATGCTTTTCATCCTTGACACAGACTTCACTTAAAGAACCAATTGGGTCACAATGGCATGGCTGGCACGGTCTTGGATTATTTGGAGATACCTAACAAAAATATTAAAATGCTTTTAATTGAGTGTAAAGAAGACACCAATATTTTTAATTTCAACAAACTTTTAAGGACCAATTAACTATAACAATGGATTGAAGATTCTATAGAGAATACATTCTATAGAGAAAATTATAATATAAGAACTTACCTTTAGTATATGTGTGCAATTTCTAATATCCATTTCTTAAATGGAGAAACATAAGTAAAGGGGATAGTACAATAAACTCATATATTTTTGTTACCTAGATTTAACAACGATCAAGATTAATTATTCAACATTTACCAAAATTTTGCTATGTATGTTTTATCAAATCTTATCCTTTGTTGAAATTATTAAAAAATATACTGAATAAAGTGTATTTTAATCCCTACATATTTGAGTATGCATTTCTTTCATTTATAATGACAGCATTGTTATCGCAACAAACAAAAATATTTGTTTGATACTCTCTAATATACCTTCTCTAATAAAATTTTCCTGATTGTTTTTTAATTACAACATAGTTCAAAATTAGTAAATTTTACCCAAATTAATTTTCAACAACTTTTTCACATTGATCATTGCATAATTGTTAAAATTTCATATTTTATGCTTAAATATTAAATATTTAAATTAACACTTGGTTTCCTGAGGACACATTACAACCTGGGAAGAAACAATGTAGGCTCCATAATTAGGAAAATTGGAGTTCATATCCCAGTGTGGCCACTTATTGCTATATGGCCTCCTGTAACTTATTTACTTCTTTGCAAAATGAGAATAATAATAACTACAGTGATGTTATTAAATTAGAAAGAGGATTGACTTATAAGATCCCTCATGTATATTAAATACTCAGTATAACTAGTAGCTTTTAATGGTACAATATTTTCATTAAAGAAACATAGACTATACTAATATACTGTGTAGACATATATATTCCAAAAAAAGAACTAAATTACTTGCACAGGAAATACTGAAATATGTACACTTTTGTGTCTTCCTTCATTCAACACAACATTTTAAGATTTATTCATGTTATGTGCATCCCTAGATCTTTTTTAAAAAATTGCCGTGTAGTGTTCATTTGCATGAATGTACCATAATTTTCAACCCATTTTCCTGATGGTGAATATTTGGGTGATTTCCAGGCTTTGGTTAGGTCCTATAAAACAATTTTATATGTCTTTTTGTGGTCATGCTTTATTTAACTTGTGTAAATATCTAGGAAAAGAATGCTTGTTTTATAGAATATGTGTATGTTTGAATTTATAAGAAACTATCAGCATTTTTCCAAATGAGTAATAACATTGTATATGATCACCAAAAATGTATGGGAGTTCCAGTTCTTCCACATCATCTCTAGTATTTGGCAATTTGGTATTGACCATCTTTTTTAGTTAGCCCTTCTAGTGGGTGCGGCAAAGGGATATTTGGCAATCACTAAGCCATTCCCACCAATAGTGGGTCCTACCGCAGATCTGCCATTATGAATTCATAGCAGATCTCACTATGAATTTAATTTTCATTTTAAGTACTTATTGGCTATTCCTATATCTTCTCTTGTAAAGTGTCTTTACAAGATGTTCTATAAAGATGTACTATAAAGATGTTCTTTATTCTAGGAACATTTTATTTTCTTTAAGTTTTAGGTCTATGGTCCATACACAAGTAAGTCTTTGTGTGTGGTGGGAATAATTATTGAGATTTTCAAAGTTAACCTGTTATTCTAGCACCTCTTTTTTGGGGTGGGGCATAATACTTTCTTTTTCTCCTTTGAATTATTTTGAAGTATTTATTTAAAATCAGTTGATCATGTGGGTCAATTTCTGGCGTTAAATATCAGAAGCCCCAGTTCTGTTCCATGGATTTCTTTGTCCATCCTGTGCTAATAGCTTACTGTCTTGTTTTCTTTAGCTTTATTAGCCTAGAATTCAGAAGTGTAAGTGCACTAACTTTATTTTTTAAAGAATATTTTGGCTATAATAGTTTCTTCACATTTCCATACAAATTTTAAATCAACTTGTCAATTATAGAAATATTTGTTGGGATTTTTGTATGGAATCTAAAAATAAACATGGAGAAAAGTAACACTTTAACAATGTTGAGTCTTTCAATCAATGAATATAGTATATCTCCTGACTTATTTATTATTCACAGCAAAATTTTCAGTGCAGACATTTTGCAGGTCTTTTATTAAACTTAGTCCTAAGTATATTGTTATTGTATTATTGTAAAAAAGTACTTTTTAAATTATTTAATGTTATTAGAAAGATTGTAAATATTGGTATTATTTATTTTTATGATATTTGTTAAGAGGCAGAACTAATTTATGTCCTCAAAATAAGAACAGAGTTTGTCTGGGGGTGGGATTTGACTGGAATGGGGCATAATCAAACTTTCTGGAGAGAAGTAAATGTTTTATATATTCATCTTCAAATATTTATACCAGTTCCCCCTATGAAACTTTTCTGGTCACCTTTTAGAATGTGAAGTCTATCAAAACTATTTTTCTGTATAATATGTCTTTGTATTAAAAAATAACATTTAATGAAAGAAAAAACACACTTTACCCCTTTAGGTCTGAAGAAACCGTCAACACACGTCTCACAATTTATACCAGCAGTGTTGTGGGTACAGTTGATGCACACACCCCCTCCAATGTATTTTCCGTGTATATTTAAGCTCAGATTTCTTCTGGCCACATTTTCATCATAATAGCATTCTTCAGCTTTTCCATGACAATTGCATGCTGCATTAAGGGAAAAAATCATAAATATTAATTGCAGGTTTCAGAGATAGTTAAACATCATTTTCTATTATATAATTGATTTTATACGATATGAGGAAATATATATACATATATAATCAGTACAAAAATATCTAAAAGTTATTTGAATTTATTGGCTATACTAATAAAGTCACCTTTTTAAATGGAACTTGAAATAATTAAAACATAAATAAAACTGAATCACATGAAATTGCCAATATTTGACTGATTTGATCATACAAAATCAAAATTTCATATGGTTCAACCTGTAATATCCTATTATGACAAATAAAAAATTATTGAACTATGGCACTGAATGATTAACATCCAGGTACTCTGTAATGAAAAATTACTATAATCTCTGTGTTATATCCTATGGGTAAACAGGAATATTTAGAATATAATTCCTTCCTTTATACTACTACTAATAACTAAAATTCAACATTTTTCTATATGCCATGTCCTCTTCTAAATGTTTTATTTTATTACCACTGATTTTAATTCTCAATACAACTTATGAGTTTGTTACTGTCATTAACCACTTTCCACATATTAGTAACCTGAGGCCCAGAGAAGTGAAGTAACTTGTAAAAGCTAAGCAAATCAATAATACAAACCACTAGTAAACCAGGCTCCAGAGTCTGCAGAGCTAACCATTGTTGCGGTCCCTTCAATTCTATCTGATGCAAGAGATGCCATGTATGATGAATGCCAAACAATTAGGACAAAAGAAGTTTTTGCTTAGTGGCTAAGATCAAGTTATTTTGCACTAAACTTGGATTTGGGTGTACTCTCAGCTACTTAGTAGTCATATGATGTAGGGTACATCTTAATTCACAAAGGGTCAGTTTCCAATTAAAATATGGGTGGTGAATAACAATTACCAGATATTTTTTAAAAATGCATGTAAAATTATTAGCACAATGCCTTTATAGCTCTCAACTGCTTTTTCCTCTTCCCTCTTCGCCTTCTTCTCCTCTTCCCTCTCTTTTTCTTTTTCATGTCATTTTATAGGAGTTCAGGAAAGTGAAAAAATTACTTCTCCAGAAAGAACTAGGTAAAGCTTTGAAAAATGGATAGAATTAATTGAGCATGGGAACTAGGGAACAGATATGCTGAGTGTCTTGCCTCGGATGCTGAGTTTCTTAGGTGTCCTTACATTGATTTCAACATATACACAAGTGTATGTGTGTGTGTGTGTGTGTGTGTGTGTGTGTGTGTGTGTATGCCAACACTTAAACTTTTTTTTTCCACAAAAAGGGACATTTAAATACTGTTCTAGACTCTTTCATTTTGACAGTAAACAGCATAACACTTTCTCTATCAGTATATGTTTCCCCTAAGGCTACACACGTTACTTTCTGAATGGAGGTATTTATCAGGTTTTTACTAATGGGCAGTTACGTTATTTCCAGGTTTTTCCTTTCTAAATAACACTGGTGCACACTAGGAAGATGTGGAGGTGGGAGTAGGAAGTGAGGGTAGGAGTGGGGTTCTATTGCTAGACTGCTCTACATGGCCAGCTGAGTGACTTTGAGGAGAAAATTCAAGCCTTAGTATTATTTTAGTACTTATCTCTTATGGTTGTTTTAAGGATGCAATACACCTAGCTCAATGCCAGTCACAGTAACTACTAAGATCCATAAATGCTAGTAGCGGCAGAATGAGCAATTGTGAGCTAATGACAAAGGGTCGTGATAACATGCCCTGCACAGCTCTATGAGTGTGTATCTATAGGCTAGATTCCTGCAAGTATAAAATCTAGTAAAGAGGCATGCAAAATTTTAATTAGCTTGAAGGATTCCCCTCCCAAAATGCTGTGCCAAATTACTCTCTCTTTGATAGATGTGATAAAACTCTGTTCCCATAGCTTCATCAACACTGCGCAGTAGCAACCATTTGAATCCAGGGTCTGGATGTAGTAAGCATTTAAGCATTTGTTAAGTGGAAGAATGAACATTTTGAGAAATTAAAAAGAAGTATTTTCATTGTTGTAATTGGTATATTCTTAATTAGGGTAAGCATGATAACCTTTTTATGTGGTTACGTCATTTTTCTTCCTGAGAAATACGTTTCCATCTTTGTTTCATTTTTAACATGTTTAATGATATTTTCTTATTGTTAGGTAAGCTCTTAATATTGTAGAGATATTATCTCCTTGTTATTTGTTGCCAATGCCTTCCCTGGTCTGTTGACTTTTGATTTAGAATACAGTATTTTTGCCATATCGATGGAACATTTTCAAAGTTCATTCTAAAAATCATGTAGTAATAAATATAAATCACTAGGCGTTAAAAGCAGTTTTATATCTTTAGGACAATGCACAAGAATTCCTAAAAATCTTGTAAAAAAATGTTGCAAGAAACTGCCAAGCTTTCTGCTATTCCTAGAAGTAGAGGGAAATAGAGAGTAATACAAATTTATTCTCACATTCTCTAGAATTAGCGCTGCTGAGAGCGTTCATAGCCCTGAGCCGGGGCAGGCAACACAGCGAAGCCCGATCAGCGGTCGTTTTCACACTCCCTGCCGCGAGGGCACTCGCCTGCAGCCCCGGTTGCCGTTTAAAGGCCCTGCAGTCTCCGAGGGACGGCTCGCACCTATTCCCAAACAGCCATTTTCATTCTGTCAGCAGTTTGCTCTATCACAGAACGTCCAAGATGCAAAACTGAAACTGTCCTTTAGTACAAGCTTACAATAGAATAAATGTTCTTTGCTCCTTAGGGATATGTCATGCCTTAAATAAACTAGACTGATGAAAATTCAAGTTGAACTCAAATGAACTGAAAGGTGATTATTCATTTTATAGAAGGATGTGTCATGTCACGAAAGGATTTTTCTAAATACTAAGGCGACTGGAACACAATGCAACTTGGAACAGAACATTTTCTTATACACTTCTAGGAATGCATACATTGCTCAAAGCATGACATTTATATAACGTTTTATGGCTAAGATGCTTAACTTTAATTTATGGTTTAAAAAATATATTTATTTTTCTATTTGGAAATACAATCTCCCATCTGCCCCACAAATAAAAATAAAATTGTTTCGTAATTGCACTATTTAAAAAACATGTCTAGTAGCCAGTGGGAAACTCCGTTCACACTGCTTTGTCCATCCCTATGGCTAACAAGTTCTGTCTAACCTTTTTGTTTCCTTATTTAAACCCATACACACAAGTGGAGAGTGGTACAGGATTTTGCAGATGCACTGAACATTACACAAGTATAACTGTGTGATAGAATATCAGGCATTGGGGAGAATCATACCCTCAGATGTTACCCCCACATCTGATTGCTGATATTCCACAAGCAAAGGAGAAATTTAATTAAAATTTAAAGAAGTTTGAGAGCAAATATCCATGGGAAGCAGTTAACTTAAATTCACTCTTAAGAATGAATGTCTGCTTTCACTGGGAGAACCTGAGGGTCTGTCAGCGACGGGGCAGGACACCCGATGCCCCTGTAGAATATTTGGCAGGGGACTCATGCCGCCAGGTATGTCTCAGTAGTGATGGGTGATTTCTAAAGCAAAATATATCACAAGCAGGTAGACACAGATCAAAAAGCAGGAGGAGTAAGTGCAGAAAAATGAAGGGACTCAAGACATGTATTGTAGATGCAGAATCATAAATGGAAAAGAATAAATACTTTGTGGTTGGGAATATTTTGTGATTAAAGTTCGCTATGACTCAATAGTTTTAAAGACCTACCATGTCTGACACCTGATAAATGATAAGTATTTTTCGTTCAATAAATATATAGGGTTGGCATTAGTTAAATTTGGCTATCAGGCCTGTATTGAAGGTCATGTATACCTACTAAAGTGAAAAATGTGGCTAGGACTGATTAACCAAAATATTAATATTAGCATTGCATTGAATTGGGACTCACAGCCAATTTGAAATTATAGTCCAGTACAAGCCTTTTTGTTTAGGCCTTGTCTTAGCCTGATCAGGTCTCCGGAAACACAGATTTCTCTAATATCCCTGTCACTCTGTGGGGCCACTTGGTGACATCTGCTACACATCTTGGGTACTCTTGTTCAGGAAAAGCTGGACATATGAATCGTATTCAAAAGTGATAATAGTAAAGGGAAAATGTTGTTTTACTGTTTTTAATTACTGGTTTTCTGTTTGGTTGCTACCATATAATAACTGCTATAGCACAGTCAATGCTAATGATTATAACGATGCGATTTCTTTTTTAAAAGGATTTTATTTATTTATTTTTAGCACGAGGGGAAGGGAGGGAGAAAGAAGAAACATTAATGTGTGGTTGCCTCTCCTGCACCCCCTACTGGGGACCTGGGCCACAACCCAGGCATGTGCCCTGACTGGGACTCGAACTGGTGACCCTTTGGTTTGCAGGCTAGCACTCAGTCTACTCAGTCACACCAGCCGGGGCATGAAGCTATTTTTTTTTATATTAGCATTTTATACCGTTATTAATGAGAAACCATGAATTTATAATATTAATGCTTATTAAAATCAATATTTTTCCATATGTTTGATTTCTTACCATCTCTGTCACCTTTAACACTCATATTCTTCAAGCTACTGCTCCAAAACACTACCCTTTAGTAAATTTAACTAATGAACCAGTTTTTTTAAAAACTTCCTGTCTCTAAACTATAGGGTACAATCTCTCCCTTCTGGTTTTTCCCCCTTTTTTAGATTATAGGTATTTAAATCTATTTATTAGAGACAGGAGGTCAAGTGAGGGGCTGCAAAGAAAGCAAGCAGTCACAGGAACTATGCTTGTTTCAGAACAATTTTATAACATAAATGTTTAGAAATCTAGTCTGTATACAGTCAAGTTTTACTGAATGTTTATTTATATTTCTATTATTCCATTAGTCTCTATACATACATTATGCTCTAAGCTTCAGTTTCACCCTGATGACAATAAGCCTATACTGTGCTTTTATCTATTTATCATAATCCTCACAAAGTGATAAATTCATAGGTGTTTGATAAATATTTACCAAGTTAAAAAAAGTCAAAATCTGAGTAACTGAAATATCAGGATAGAGATGGTCAATTATTGCCTTGTATAAAACATAGAGACCGACAAGAGTGCTTACCTAAAATCGCCACATGTTTATATTACCAGTGCCCCAGAAAAGGAGGAAGTACACATGCCGCTGGCCCTTCAGAAACATACCTTCACATTCAGTTTTAGTCAGAAAGGTCCCAGCTTGCCAAGGTTTCTGGTGGAATCCTGGACAGCACCGATCGCAGCTATCACCGCACGTGTTGTGCTCACATTCACAGCGGGATTTCTAGTCAAAAAGGGGGAAAATATACCTTGAGCAGTTTTAAGACCTATAAATGAAAAGTTTTCTCTAAAGGTAGAATGAAGTGAAGAGAAAACACCTAAAACTCCAGTCAGTCTGGGAAGGAAGACAGGCCTATCTTGGAAACAGGTGTATTTAATCAAAAGCAGATTGCAGAGGGCCAAGCTGGTTCTGAAATCACTGGGCTTCAACTTGGAACAGAGTAGAGGCGCAATTGGGAGTAGTCTTGAAGACTGAGATCCCTTCTTTGATGCCTGAGAGAGTTTTCAATATTGGACATATCCATAGTAAGGCTTCCCTCAAAGTACTGTTAACACTGGGGAGTGTGGGCACAGGGGAGAGAGTTGATCCCTAGGCATCAAAGGCCATAATTATAATAGAAATCAAATGTCCTAGAACTGAATCTCCTGTCTGTGTGTTTTGAGTACAGTCTGTCTTTAATATTTATTGAATTTATTTGGGTGACATTGGTTAATAAGATTATATAGGTTTCAGGTGTATCATTCTATAACACATCATCTGTATATTGTATTGTGTCTTTACCACCCTAAGTCAAGTCTCCTTCCATCACCATTTATCCCCCTTTTTCCTCTCCTACCTCCCACACCTCCCTTTCCCTCTGTAATCGCCATACTGTTTCCTGTGTCCACGAATTTTTTCTTTGCCTAATCCTTTCAGCTTTCTCCCTCAGACCTCCAAACCACCTCCCCTCTGACAGCTCTCCGCCAGTTTTCTGTACCTATGAGTCTATTTCTATGTTTGTTGTTAGTTTGTCAAGTACAATCTTGATTCATTGCATGGAACGGGCCCTCCAAGGCTGCCTTGTGGGTTCTCAGAGCTTGGAAAACTCTGCTCATAGTGATACCCAACAGACAGACACACACTCTGCAGAAAGAAGCACCGCAAATGTGCCCAGATAAATATACCAGGGCATTTGAGCCTTCCCTAGGCAGTAGCATCATAATGCGTTAGCCAGAAAACAAGCTTTTAGAGAAATGCCATTTGCATTATTATTTTGGTGGGAGAAAAAAAAATCTGTATGTAGGTGGCTATGTTCATGGATCTGATTATTCAATATATGTCTTCCAGATACTATACAACAAATGATTTTGTATTTCACCAGTTTGTGTATGACTGAGAAAAAAGATGCTCATTCATTTTTTGGGGGGGCTATGCTCGCTTACTATGTTGTCATTAATGAAAAATTTGACCCCAAAGCTTCGGAGCATTTTCTGGCCCAGGAGTTCCAATGCCGTCTTGAACACTCTCTTCTACCCTGCTTTGTATTGCCCCTGTCCCACCTCAGCCTCCTGTTTCATGGCCATTTATATTCACTCCCAGACATATTGTTCATTTGTTTGTATTCATTTTTTTTTGTGAAAGCTTTTAAAAGAAATGGTCAGTTTGATTGATGGCAGACATTCTCTAAAACTAAATCATACAGCAGGCTGTCATAGCTAAAGAGGTTTCAGAATAAAAAAAGCAGTTTGGAGTCTTTTCGGGGGGAAAAAAAACTAATCTGGTTTCTGATACTGTGATGGCTGACTTCAAAGTCCATCAGGCTAACTGCCAGCTCTGTTTTCCCCGGGCATGGCTTTCTGTTACACTGTCTCAGGGGGACCCAATACCCGTTCACAGCGTCCCTCTTGCCAAAGCCTCTCGTAAAACATTTTACAGTTCAGAGCTTCGTGTTGCCTAAGCATCCTATAAATATACATACATTTGTCACCGGATCAAGTGGACAAGCCCTGGCATGACCGTAGCAGATGCACATCCCTCCAACCGAAATATCCTTGACCGAGTAGTAATACTGCAAAAAAGCAACCCCGAGAGAAATCCTGTTAAGATGACTGCAGGATGAAAGTAACAAGAGGGAATGTTCAGTTAAAAACTTTATTTCTTGCTTGTATCTTTAGTTTGAAGCACATTTGTGTTCCTACAGGACAACTGAGGACTCACAGAAGCAATCAAGTAACTTCTTGCATTGCAGTTATAGCCCGAAGAAAGAATGCCTAATTTACATAAGGTGGACATTTTACAAAGTTCTTTCCCACAGACAGTATAAAGTCCATTCTGAAGTATGTGTTATTGACAGCAAGTTGTTATAATTTTTCATTAAAGTTGTGTTAGTGTCTTGAAAGAAAATCTCTTTTATTGTCATTAGAGAAATGTCAGTATCTATGAATCATATGCAGACTGCTTAGTTTGATGAATTTGAAAAGAATCAACAAATATAGCAGAATGTGTTCATAACAATACATTTCTTAAACATATAAAAAAGGAACTAAAACATAACTAACTGCAAGATTGAGTTAACATAATGTGAGGAGTAAATTAGGGTGGGCTGATATTTCCTTTATTTCGTGATGATGTTAAAATATCCATGCAATTAGTTTCCTAAGTCTGAAGTTAAGACTATGTTTCTAACTTTTTAAGTCTATGCAGTTATTTTTAAAAGGTTATTTATACTTATACAATAAAACTAAACTATTTCTAAAATTTTATTTTTATTTTTTTAAGATTTATTTACTTATAGATGGGAAGGGAGGGAGAAACAGGAGGAGAGAAACATCAATGTGATGTTGCCTCTCGCATGTCTCCTACTGGGGACCTGGCCCACAATCAAGGCATGTGCCCTACACTGGGAATTGAACAGGTGACCCTTGGGTCCTCAGACCAGTGCTCAAGCCACTGAGCCACAGCAGACAGGGCTAACATTTTAACTAATACGTATATAACATTTTATAATTATGAGAATACTGCACATTATCATGTGGAATCCAAATAATCATCTCAGTGGTATATAGTTCTATTATTCCAACTTATCACATTAAAAAAAAAAGATTTAGAGAAAATGAGTAAGTAGGCAAAAATTTCAGCTCCCTAACTTACACAGTCCCCTTTTCCATTTACTTTTTTCTTTTGGTTTGCTTGTTTGTTTTTGTTGTTTACATAGTGTCTTTCAGAATATTTTGGTTATGTTACCTTACTTGAAATAGCTAAACTCTGAATTAGTGAAACTTTCTAGAAAATTTAGTTAAAAGTCTGCTTTTCACTAAGTTCATCACAATAATGTAGATACAAATAAGGATATTTGCTTGGAAAGCTGATACAGTTTTTGTAGATGCTTTTAAATTGGGAAATGCTTTTTAAATATAAATGTGTAATGCTTCACTTTTAAGCCCTCAAAAGAAGCTGAAATTCAATATCATATTTTTATATATTTAGATTTACATGTAGGGTTTACTGAACTTTACCTCAGAAAACATATTTGATTGCTGAATTTTACTACACTGTTTTAAAAGCTCATGTTCAACTAAGTTATAAATAATAGATGTGCACCTGACTTCCACTTTGCCTTCTGCAAAAGACAATAAAAGAAACACATTTATTTGCATTGATTTTTTTCCCCCTCTGATAGATATACTGTCAGGAAAGATTAAATTTCCCTTCAAAATTATTGTCTTCCTCAATATATGTTTTTAAGTCATGTTGAAATTAAAAAGTGATTGTTTTTAATCTAACATTGCTATAAAATAATGATTACTTCTGCATTAAATAATTTCCAATATGCTGATGGTAAGTACATGGCAAAATTATTTTGTGCTTAGAAAATACAGGGCACCAATGCGATGGACATGTGTTATTATGAGGATGTTATTCATGAGGGGTGTTCATGAACCATGAAAAGTGCTGTCCTTCAATATTAGGACTAATGGTTCAGCAATTTGGCAATTGTTGGCAATAGTCTGACCTTAGTAGGTTTATTTCAGAACTAAGAGCACAATCTTAGTTTCTCCTTATAACCTTTTCCCTTCTGCCTCCAGTCACACAGTAGCTATTCTCTTAGCATGGATTTGTTTTATGGCCTTGTAGCCATATCTTGGTTGTGTAGCAGCATATAAGGGAGGTGAGATAATCCAGTGCAAGTGATGGGGGATAGAGATAAGAAGCACAATTATCTCCCATAGCAACCCGAGTGGTCTTTATGTCATAATCATGCAAATTCCAGTTCAACACTGAAAAACAGCACACTGTTAGCTCTTGTTTCAAAGATCTGTTGAAAGAATGCTATAATTTTTTTCTCATATTCTATTCATGAAGGAAAATAAAACAATATATAAAATCAGTTTTTCCATATAGCACTGCTCTTTTAAAACGATGGCTTGTGATTTATTAGTAAAGCGTAAAAATAAATTATTTGATTGGTCAAAAGGATCCACAGACCAGCAGCACCAACATTACTGAGAATTTGATAGATATATAGTTTCTCAATTCAGCCCTAGACCGCCTGAATCAGAACCTGCCTTTCCTCAATATCACAGGCTGATTCTGTACACATTATGGTTTAAGATTTACTGCCCTGTGTGTGTGTGTGTGTGTGTGTGTGTACTGGGTCATGATATAAAATGTATTTCTTAGTGTTGGCTGCAGCCAAAATGTTTCAACTTCTTGTTGTTACTTCCCAAAGCTAATTATAATAGTACAGATCACCCAAGGGTAAAAAACCAACTTAGTCCTCAAAAATAATATTATGAACTAGGCACTATGATCTTCATTTTACAAAAGAGGATATCAAAGTTGAGAAATGTTAACAAGTTTGATAAAATGTTACATATCCAACAAGTGGCTGAGTGTGTGTGAACAAAAGGTCTACCAAATTTTAAAGTCTTTGATAATAACTACTCCTACAAGTCATGGAAAGGTATATTTTAAAATGATCTAACACACAATTAAAAAGAAGGTTATGATGTCAATCACAAGCTGGAAAGTGAATGAATATAACTTACTCTTCGTGTGACAATGGGGTCAATTTCTCTTGGGTCTTTGTGAGCAAACATCATCAAATCAGCATTCAGGGTGCGGATCCTCTGAAATCTCAGGCGAATGTAGCGAGCAGAGGTAAATTCTAGCAGTTCAGGAGAAGGATCATCCGCGCTTGGTCTCCCGTTGATCAATGAGATGTGAATCTACATAATGTGGGAAATGATTTAACAATTAAGTTCACCAAAAACTAAATTGTCTGGTTTTGTTTTTGGGTGTTTTTTCTTTTTGAAAAATTAGGATAAGCTCTCAAATCCCAGTTAATCATACAGATACAGCTTCATGTTCACTGGAATAGAGTGAAGTAATTGGGGGTTTTTATGGACATTTTAATATACTTAGATGCAGTACATTTGTTTATATTTTAGGTGTTCTCTCTATACTGCAATTGCCCATAATCTTCTGTTCCAAGGCATTGCATCTATTTGACCTTCCTAGGAGGTCCACAAATTTTTATATCACTTTATCTTTTTCTGAAAATTATTGTGCCCTAAAATTATTTAAGAATCGTATACAGTAGAAAATGAAAAAACTTGTTTTTTTTAAAAAAATCTACAAAACAGACCAAAACAGGAACTCAAAAAATACTTAAAATAATTCTAAATTTGAAGGCATCTAATTATACAGCTTTATAATTAGTATATAATGAGCAAAAAGTGACACACTGCAAGGAAAACTAGACACATCTACAATCGCAGTGAGAGATTTTAATCGGTTGTTCATTTGTTGTTTATTTTTTAGTAATCGTAAACCAACAAGACAAAAATGTATTATCGGTATAACGCATTCTATGAAAACACATTAAAACCTGGTTGGAATGATATATTTGTTAGGAACATAATTTAGCACAATTGATACCCAACAAAATAAATTCTAAACATTCAGTTTTATTTGTACAAAATAGAGAAATTGCAAGGGAACAACCCCTCACAGGTGCACGAATCCCATATGCTCTCATAAGGATTTCACAAGAGCAGAAAACTCTAATGAGGAGTAAACAAGTTTGATAAGATACACAGAACTCCTATCACAGATTAAGAAATTATTTACTGCATACCTAAAGAAATAAATCAACGAGAAAAAAAGGCCAACAAAATAACACAAAAAATAAAAGGACAGCATAAATGACTGTTAAACTTTTGATAAGATAGTGAACTTCACTCATTAATTAACAGAGAACTATTAATTCAAATCACAATAATAAACTTTTTTATTTTTTCAGGTAGCCCAAACCCCAAAATAATAATACTCCATGATAGCAAGACCGGATTGGTACAGGTATTTGCATGCACTTATAGGTGTGAGCATAAAATGGCACAAACCTTAATGAAAGTGGGTTTAGCAATAATTATCAAAATTACATATGCATACATTTTTTGACCTACAAATTCCACTTGCAGAAAATTATCCTACAGATATTACATGTATATATTATTCCTAGGTAGCATTGCTTATAATAGCAAAAGACTAAAAACATTTTAATATTCACTAATGTGCAACTGGTTAAATAAATTATACATCTATATACTGAAATAGTGTACCATAAAAAAAGAATGAGGAAACTCTTGATATACTGATAGGAAAAAGTACTTTCACTTTTTTGTACTTTGTGAATGCATTATTACCTACACAATAAATTAAATCACAATTGTTTAAAAAATTGAAACTAAGTGGTAGGTTTTGGACTGAAACTTCCCCCCACACACGCTCACACAAGCAGGTGCACACGTGCACAGGAAGCTAAAGAGACGGGCATGCAAGAAGATAGCAGCCCTGTGCTGGGCTGGAAGCTCTCCAGGAACATGACAGGCCATGCATGTACTGGGAAACTGTGACTTGAGGTCACCCACCAGAATTTTCATCCAGTTTTGCAAGATCATATATCACATGTGTTAATTACATTTTTTGACAGCGGGGGTAATGGTATGCATTTCCATTCCTAACATCCTGCATTTAGATAATCCCCGAGAGCATTTTACAAACTGACTGCCAATAAACTACTGAGTCACCAGAGAAATAAATATAGAAACTCAGATGAGAAACTAATTCTGATGTCACAAAGAATAAATTCAAAATGCCTCATGATAAAAATATGAAATGTCTCAGCTAATTGAGTCTACCTTGGATACTTAGTAAAGAATAAATTCACTTAACACATTTGAAGATGATAGAATACAAGCTTTGCTTAATATACTGAATCTAAAAATACGGGATACCCTCTCTCTAATGTAAAAATTCTAAGAGTAAAAGTGGATCTTGTACATTCCACAGTTCTGGCATCTAGCAGGTGATTGAGAAATGTGTTTAAGTTGTCTCTATTACTTAAGAAAGTATCAATTAAATGTTAAAGGAATAAATAAATAGAAACATGAAGCAGTTACAATCAGTCCCTTTAGAGATTAATTTGGCATCCAAAAAATCACCAGTGCCCTTAAATTCATGCTTAATTTCTGTCTTAACAAGCGCTCCCATGAATGCTCCTAAAAATGCTATTTAAAAGGAGGGAATCATGACATGTCTAGGATTAAAGTTTCTGAAAATTATTAACATTCACTTGGTGTTAATTCTATGGTGAACTGTATTTGTGGGTGTACATGAAATTAGTATGTCCTTCTTTGAAATGCACAGGAAATTTAAAATAAATGGTGTACATGTTCTCATTCAGGTTGATAAACCATATGATAGCTATATAAAGGATTCAGCAAAAGAACACTTCTCACAGCTTTGGTATTTTCATCAAGCTACTCTGCCAAGAGATCTTGTGAGCATAGTTAGTCCCAAGCTGTTTCTGGATTATAAAACCAGCCAGCTGTTTGGCCATGTTGTGAGCAGCTTCCTCCCATCTTTTCTTTCCCTTTTTTTCACTCCCCTTCAAAATAAATCATAATATTGGATAGGATATTTCCACTGACATGATGTTCCGTGATTCCAAGTGCTCTGGATATTTAAGCATATTTCCTGATTTCCTGGGGCGGGGACAACTGGAGGGTGTCTATCTTCCAAAAGATGAAAAGTGTTAGTCCTCAAGACCACCGCTGTCTTGCTGTGAGGCTGTGGGAAGTCTGTGGCAGTCCAGTGTCTTCTGAAATGATTTCTATTACACACATGTTGGTGGGTGTATGTTCATGCTGTCAAAGGAATCTGTTCCAACTGAAAATATCAGCCTGATAAACAAATGGTTTTTTAGATCTCAAAATTACACTCTTCTTTGAAATTAGTTATCACCAAAAAATAGAGGAAAAATACCTCATAAGTTTATGACCAAGAAACTAAATCAATATTGCACCGTACTCATCCAAGTAAATTTGTTCCTATCAGTGTAAGCATAGTATATAAACCACGTTCCCATTGCAGATGGATAAATATTTGTGACTGTAGTGGAATTTCTACTTTTATAATTAGAATACAATTTAAAAAATGGTTTATGCAGCAAATAATCAGATTTCTAGTATGAATAACTATCTCTTATTATTATTTTTTATTTCTATTAATACAACTGTTTTATATTTCTCGAACATCTATACCCCTAACACCGTCCAATGGTAAAAATTTCTTGAGTGGCTGGGTGTATGAGAAAAGGAAGGCTAGGTAATGGAATTGGATGAATTAGACAACATCATAGGTACTGTATTCTCTTAGAACAGCTTAAAATACCATTTGAATGATCAGTCTCTAAATTGGCCAATGAAAAATGTTAACTCCAGGAGATAAAGCAATAAAATCAATGTGTAGGATGAGTATAGCTGGCTAGAGGTGTAGCCAAAGAGTCTGTAGGTGTGGATGTACACAAGTGACTGAGACTTGTAGGAAACCTCCTAAATACAATCCTGGTTAATATGATATTATTTCAGAGAGGGGGAGTAACCTTGAAAAATAAACCTAATAATTTTTATTTTACCCTACATGGAAAGAAAGAAAGACACGTTTGAAGAAAAGAGGTGAGCTGTATGACTCGTAGGAAGAGAGGACAACATAACAATTTGTCATTGTGCTTCTAGCACAGAGCAAAGGCTCTGGCTCTGTCTCTGACTCTATATTGTCAGTAGGAACCCTCAAATGATGAATATTTAGTTCTCACATACCTGGTCTTTTAGCAGCATTTGAAACAACTAGATACTCCATTTACTTCCAGACAACACGCTCTCCTTGTTTTCCCCCTTTCCGGCTACCCCTTCTTAATGTTCTTTGTTACTTACCACCTTTTCTCCTCCCCAGCTCTAATACTGGAGCACCATGTTGTCAGTCTTTGGCCTTCTGTTACGTCTATACTTACTCAGTGATATCATCAAAGCTCACAGCTTTAATGCCACCTATACTGATGTCTTCCACATCTGTATCTCCAGACCTCATCTCTCCTCTGAAGGTCAGGATGAAGAATCCCACTGCCTTCTTGATACATTTACTTGGCTGTCTACTGGGAATCTCAAACTTATATCCCAAACTGAGTTCCTTCTCTTCACTTCACACACTCCCCAATTACACTAAGTAATTTCATCCTTTCGGCTACTCAGACCAAAAACTAAATCATCCTTGATGGCTTTTGTTTTCTTTCTTCCTACATCCAAAATATCTGAAAATCTTGTTGGCTTTACCTTCAAAATATATCCAGCATCTAAACGTTTCTCACCACCTCCACTAAAGCCATCTTAGTACAAAGCTTTCATCTTTCTCTACCTGGTCACTACAAGAGGGTTAGAACAGGTCTTTATGCTACTGCGTCTAACTCCCTAGGGTCTGGGGTTTTTTTTCCTCAGTTTTTATTAAATGTCTCCATCAATTTATTCTCTGCATTCTTTAAAACAAAAATTACAAGTTTACTATTAACAACTTAAAATATTGGATGTCAACCAAGTCAACTTTTACTCATGCTGCAAGTTGTTTTATGTTCTTTTACTTCTTTTTGCCAGAGGATCTTCAATAATTTCTGCAAAGAGATTCCTCTTCCATAGATTATATGCAAGAGGTAAAAGATGGTTAGCAACTTTATGAAAATAGTGCGAACCATAGCAAAAGAGGTCCATTCCGACTCAAGCATTGTTATGTGCCATTGAGTTGGCCCCAATTCCTGGCGACTTTGTGAATGAGTGATGTCCACAGTGTTTGTCCTCAAAAGCCCTGCTCAGCTCCTGTATACTCCTGACTATGG